ATGACAAAAGATATAATTAATTGCACTGAGTTCCTGTTTCAATTATCATGTCAGCTCACGTATTGTTTTGTTTTTGTTTTTTTTGACGACCATAATAACCAGTTTCAGTCAAAGTAGAAACCCTGAATATCACAGGAAACTCAGGAAGAACTTGGAACTTAAGTGAAATTGTATACCCTGTTTATGACAAGAAGCTTGAAAAACCATACTCTGTTCAGCAGATCATCTCCGTATAGTCCACATATGGGAGTACCCACCACCCTGGGCTGAAACAGTGAAAGACCAAGCTGAAAAATAATATCACCTTTTGAAAGTTGGATTACAATATGCCTACTTGAGATTAGATTTTGAGGATACTTATTGACCAGCTGTGCACACATGGTAGTATAGTTTTTCAAGACTAGGCCCAAAATTGAGTGTAAATGTGTCAAAATGTCCAAGAAAACAAACATGGCTGCTTGAAAACTTCACATCTAACTCGAAAATTGGTCATCAAGGTTTTCAGAGGAAAACATGTTACAATGTAGTACAAACATATCTACATACAATGAAAACTAAGTCTTGCATTCCCTTCTTCATTTCGCTGTCCAGACTCTGTTTTATGGTCCATTTTACACCCATGTTCATTCTGACAGAGTCATAGATACTGCAGTTTCTCATTCTGATATTCATTATTTAAATGTCTATATATCTAACGGCAGCAAAACAGGTCAAAGTCCTTTAGAACATTTTTCATGCTTTGTCAATCAAAGATACTGTAAATTTGATTTACTACTGTAAATGTGATTGACATAAGAAAATAAGCAAGTTATTTTCACACCATTTGTTATCGAGACATTAGAGTCATGTAAGGCTGTAGGAGTTTTCTGGATAAGTGACATTTCCAGTACCTTGCAATTCTTTCTGGTCCAGTCTTGTTCTCTTTCAATCCATTCCTTGTTTTCGTCTCATTCATTTTTCTCTTTCCATCAATTTCTCCATTATTCTTTCCACCTGTTTCCACATTTGCAGCACTTGTAAAATGTTGTCATTGGTTCATCAGCAGAACGTGTTTGGATCTGCATGAAGTAGGCCCTGTCATGTTCACACTTAGGACATCTCTCTGTAAGAACAATGATTGAACAACAATGAATAGTCCCTTTAACAGTTCCCTGCGCCACCTTGAAAGGTAGCCATGCCTTTACATAGAAGCAAGAAGAACAGTGAGCTAGCAATGATAGAGACCCTTTTTTAACACCTTGGACAATAATTATTCACAGGTCTCTATCATTGCAAGCTCATTGTTCATCTTGCTTCCATGCAAAGGTGCTGCTACCTTTCGAGATGGCACAGGGTAGTGTGAAAGGAACTATTGGTAATTCATCAGCTTTACAGACTGTTATTCTTGATATCACAAGTGGAATTATCTTTGCAACAAAGTAGACTTTGGTGGGCATCAATCAAGGAGTGTCCATGCCATTCCATTGGCATGTTCTCTTAAAAACTTTAGGTTTTCCAACAATGTCTTGCTTACACTTTGATTGATGCCCACCAAAGCCCTATTTCGTTGCAATGGCAAATTGTATGATTCCATACATGCTATATATTAATTCTACATAATGCAAAGAAAAACTTTTGTTTTACCTTCCGTTGAATCTACATTTTCCCAGGCATTTTTCCCTCCAAGAACATCATCAACTTCCTTCAATTTTGGATACTTTCTGTTCGAAATCTAGAGTATCAAAACACAAACACAAAATCAAGCATTAATTTAATAAAATCTTGAAGAAAGCCATTTTCAAATGTACTAATCTATAAGAAAAATCTAATCGTGGGATAAAGGCCACATGTAAATATTATTTTTCTTTTCTGATGGATAAGTTTCCTAACACGTTTCCTCACCTTTTTGGTGATGTTGTACACGTATGGACAGGTTTGACAGGCAAAGCGATAAGATGAACATCCAGATCCTTCCTCTACTATAAGGACGTTAGCACAAGTTGGACAAAACAGTAGCATTTCGAGCTTCACAGAAAAAAATCGAACTAAACTGGAGAACAAAATGGAACGTTTGATTGAAAATGTCTTTGAAATCCGCTGACCGGTTGAGAAGTCTTGCTCAATTTACCACAGGTAGCCCAAAGTGTTGTGAGGAATGTTCCGCATACTAATGTCGCATCATTAACAAGAAATGCCATTTAAAAAGCATCTTAGAACTTCACTCACTTATTGAATAGGTTTTTATTATATATGATTATGATTATAATGCTACTAAATATGTCCTAAAAGAGCGGTTGCAAAAAGTATTTTAAAGCCAAGAGACACCATGAAGACCATGGTCTCTTGACAAAACCTAACCTTGTGTAAAACCACACATATCGTCTCCTCGTGTTGATAATCTTTAATGAAGGAAACCTACTCACTAAAAGTGGTTTTCAGTAGGGCCCTAATCTCCTTCGAATACAAGTTTAACAAACACAAATCCTGGTCTACACATTCCTCTGATTTATTTACTGAAACAAACACATATAATTTTAAAACTTGCCATGTCTTTTAATATATAATCATGAGTAGACGTACACTTTAGCAAAGTTACGTTCCCGTACATATGGGGAGTCCTGTGGACCGACCAACTATTCAATTAGTAAGAATGACTCTCGCGAGTTAGCGAGTTTCAGTTAAGTATGATATGTTTATGTTATATCCACAACTCTCAGCGTTGCCGACAAGAAAACTGAGATTGCTCCTCCCATGTCAGAACGGAAATCAGTAGAAGACAGCTAGCAAATTGTTCATTGAAGCCACAGAAGCCAGAAGGATGGAGGAGGGGGAGGGGGTTGAGCCTCCTACCTCTTGATAATATCCACCTCATTCTTCTAACTTTTAGTTTTACACATTCTAACCAGACTGTGTAAGTCTGCTTCCCCATTTCTTAAGGGTTCTCCAAAGCCTTGGTGGTTCTTTCAGATGCGCAATAATCTTGCTTTCTCACAAAACGGAGGGCGCGCACTTAAATTGCACATCTGTCTTAAAAGATCCATACTTATTAAAAGTTAAGCTATGAGGATTAGAGATAGTTAGGAAGAATTAATCTACGGACATCCGTGCGCGCTTTTAATAATCGAATGCCTGACACCAACCAAATTTATACTTTGCTTCTAAGAGTCCTCAAAATTTGACCGGAAAACTGCCATTATAATCAGCCGAAACCACGCAAGATTCGCTAACTAGGTTGGAATCTTATCCATCCAGCTAATAATGTCATCCGTCTTCTCTCTTGATAATAGTTTATTTTCAACAAACTTCTCCCGACTGTTTTTTTCGATTCCATTCTGAATAACCAAACATTCTTCTAGCTTTTTATTTCGCAAGTACATTTCACGATTCCGGGGATGTTGTAAATGAAGGCTTCGTTGTCTCACACGTTGATTCTGTCTTTTAGTCTTAGTTTCGCCACGAGAAAAATCCCGAGGCGTTTTTCGTTTAATCAGTGAGTTTGAAGCACCAACATTTTCCCTCGGAGTCTCAGGCCATGACGTATCCTTCTGAATAAACGAAGCTGGTGTCACATTGACTGGAGCCAAGGAATACTTCTCCATCATGCCTTCCATGCTATCTTCATCAGGGACCTTCGTGCCAGTCACTGACATGTTTCCAAGCGGGGTCGTCGTAACAATCCGTGGAAAATACAAAATAGAACTAGTATTGTCTGCGATGTTGCCCAGGAAACGCTCCTTTGGAGGAACAAGTGACTTCTGAAAGTTTTCTACGACTCTTTCGCTGTTTGTAATCCAAAATATATCCGTTTTTTCTCGAGTTTCCAGGTAGTTTTTCAATGCTGGAAGGTTTTGGTCAATGTTGTTGTTTTTCTTGAATCTAAATGCTCGGTAACCTTTGTTATAATCGTAGTTAGTCATATTTTTAATCTCACTGGACCAAAAACACGGCCGGATAAAAATCTTGCTCTTGTAGTCACTGAAAAAAGTTACATCTTCAGCGAGAATGTTTTAGTAGCTACTATTATACTCCTTATTTACACTGAAGGGCACGTTCCAAGACACTTCTAATGATGTACGAATTACTCTTTCTTCATGGTTATCCGACAAAGAAACTAAGCACTCAATAAACAAATAATTTTCACTCCCTCATTAGAATAACAAAAACAATTCAGAGTGCAATCAAAAGGCTCTCAACGCCTCAGTTAACGTGTTTCTGCGCTTGACAGCTGTCTTTGTCCATGGAATAAATGTTAGACAAACTAATTGACGCAGTGATAATCATAGTGATAAAACATACAGCATTGCTTACAGCACGTACACGGTACGACATGCTGTAACATTAAAATGAATTCCTATAGTCTTTCGAATCAAAAGGCGAATTTGTCCAAGCCATTGTTTTCCACTGATAACTAAACCCCTCAGTCTAAAGTAAATGGAACAAGTTGTAAATGGACTGCTACATTAAGTGCAGTGCAGTTTGTTTGATGATCGCCTATTCAGTAGTATTTCCACTTTGTCCTTATCATTTTAAGATCCACAACCTTCTGTATGATAAACTAATGCTCAACCAAATCAGCCAGGGTGGTGATAAAAAAAACTGTGTGAAATTCAAAACAGGCATTTTTCAAAGCACTGTTTCAGAAATCCTTGTCGCACCAAAAGCCTCAAGCAACAAGCTAAGGCCGCAGAGAACGCTGGTACTTTTAGCTGTAATTAGTTTATTCATGGTGCATTTTCATTTATTGACTTCACAACTTGCTCCAAGCAAGGCTGCTTGAGATGATAATTAGTAGTGTAGAGCTATAGCCACTTGCATGAACCAAGAATAAATCAATTATAATTAAAAGTACCGACGTTCTCTGGAGCCTTGGCTTGTTACTTGAGGCTCTTGGTGCGACAACGATCTTCGAAATAGGTGTATATGCTGGGCACCTCAGACCGTTGACGTAAAGCGTGCTCTTGCGCTTTTCTTACATCACGTTCCGAGTTAAACATCTGGATCTGAAGAAATCTTGTCGTTAAAAAAAATTGATTGTGACTGGGAAGCCGCATAGCCCTTTGATGGTTGCCGAGTGACCTTCCCACATATTTCAAACGTAGTTTTGTTTTTAAAACAAGAAAGATTTCTTGAGATCCAGAAGTTTAAAGAATAGGCTCAATCCACTGTTCTACCACTTCAGACCACGTGTCATTCCCTAGAATATAATTTCTTTGTTTAACGGTTGTGCATGAATAAAAAAACCCACATTAATTTATGGATACAACTCAAACAAATAATCTTATTCTCTAGAGAGCGACACGTGGTCTGAAATGTGAAAATATTACGACCAAGTGCATGGATTTGATCTATTGGGGTGCTGTAGAGTACGCAAAACTCAGTTTGTAACTGTGAAAACCCTTGCTTTGGATAAGTAACGTTTTTGGAAACAAAAAGAAAAAAACAAAACAAAAATAAAAACAAATCAGCAAACAAACAATCAAACAAAACAACAACAACAACAACAACAACAACAAAAAACAGAGTTCTTTCACAGGTTTAAAGGAAGCTTGATGGGTAATTTCCAATGATCGAACTGCACTGATTTCCTTCTGATCACCTCCTGCACTCCCTGCACTGCGCATGCTTTGAAAACTTAAACTGCAGTCCTATATTTAATCATTATATGTTTTCAGCATCAAGAAAGAAGATTTAGTGTTGATGCTTGTGTAAACTATACTCAAGAGTTTTAAAAGCATTTTTTAAATGTTGTTAGGATTTCTATGTCAACAGCAATCTTTTCTTTACTTCAAAAACAAATAAACCACTTGAGGTTTACCCTAAAATCACTCACTCAAAAATATGAATTTAAAACTTTTTAAATAACCATGGATTTCCCGTTAATAAGTATTATTAGTGTGGTTTGATTTAACTTTAATAGCGCTCATTGCCATTAGTACTCATAGCATGTTACCCCAATAAGTATTATTAGTGTGGTTTGATTTAACTTTAATAGCGCTCATTGCCACTAGTACTCATAGCATGTTAC